AGTTTTAAAAAATGAAATAACTTAAAAAATATTTTTATTGATTTCAGGGAGGAAGAGAGAGGGAGAGATGGAAATATCAACGATGAGAGAGAATCATTGATTGGCTGTCTCCTGCATGCCCTCTACTGGGGATCAAGCTTGCAACCTGGGCATGTGTCCTTAACCTGAATCAAACCTTGGACCCTTCAGTCCGCAGGCCGACGCTCTATCCACTGAGCCAAACCAGTGAGGGCTGAAATACTTTTTCAGTATGAAAAAAGTATCTAAGAATCGGGGGGATATAATTAACTGAATGGAGAATATCTAATTAGTTATGACCAAAAGCAACATGTTATTTTTTTCTCTATATCCTTCTTAACACACACACATAGACACACACACACACACACAGATATACACAAACACGATAGTGACAGCAGGGTCTTAACTTTTATATATAATTATAATGTGAAGAACACTGTTCACTGTGGGAAAGTATTTTTAAAAATATGTGTTTATGTATTTAATTTCAGTAGATATAAATGAAAAAATACAGTTATTTGAGAGACAGGATAACTTATCTATATTACTATATAGACCAAACATATTAGCATTTGGAAACAGAACTGTAAGAGTTTACCTTTCTGGACCCTTATTTTATTTATAAGAAAATAAGACTAAGAAAGGTAAAGTTTGAGCAAAACTCAAATTTTTGAACACCCAGGCCAGTGCCTTCTTCTAATATTACATATTCTATGAGCAAAAGTCACTGGTAATAACAGTATGTAGTTTGACCTCAGATATTTAGAGACACGCACATTCTAAGTGAGTTACTTTCTGATTTACAGAATAATGTTCTTAACACAATGAGAACTTAATAAAACAGCTTAAGTCCTCAGAGAATGGTGTAAATATTGCTTATTTGTGGGTTACTTATGGGTTTGCAATATAGTGTAACTTTGAGTAAAAGGAAATGGAAGGTTTAAATAACACAAATTAAAGTCTAAGGCACCAATATTGAAAACTGAGTAGGCCTGGCCAGTGTTGCTCAGTGGTTGAGCATAAACTATAAACCAGGAGGTCATGATTTGATTCTGGTCAGGGCACATGCCTGGGTTGTGAGCTTGATCCACAATAGGGGCATGCAGAAGGCAGCCGATCAATGTATCTATCTCATCATTGATGTTTCTAGCTCTCTCTCCCTCTCCCTTCCTCTCTGACATCAATAAAAATATATTAAAAAAGAAAAAGAAAACTGAGTAGAATGTGAATATTATAATGAGCTGAGAATTAAGATTCTCTCATAGTTCTCTGAGCATTGAGGTACCCTAATTGACAGTTGGTGGGCCACTAGGTCCCCATGAATCACCTTTACTTATTCCTGCTTCCATCGCCCAGATTCGGAGTTTTGCTTTGAAAAGCTGTAACTGCCACCTTCTTTGGAGACCTACATTTGAACTACTGGAGCCACTACAGAGAACCAGAAGTGCCTGTGATATTGTTTTCCATCCCACATGTACATTTCCATTAAAGCCTGTCGCCAATGATGGATTGGAGTCAGAGTGTGGAATCTCAGCTTCTTTGTTCCCATAGTATGGACTCTGAGATGTAATCAGATTCCAGAGCTCCCCTTAGTCACTCTGAGTTTGATTGGCATCATCCTTCATACTCCTGCTTCCTCCATTTTCTTACCAGTTCTCCTGGGAGTTTTCTTAATCACTTGTATGCAAATTCCTGCCTCAGGGTCTGTTTTTGAGTAACTCAATCTAAGGCAACTATGGAAGCTATTTAGGATCCACCCATCCATTCATATTTATCTATACTGCTACCTCCCTCTCTCTTCCCTTCCTCACGTTCATTCTGTATCCCCCTCTACCCCAATAAGCAACACCTGAAAGAACATGTGGCATATAGCCCATTCCATTTTAGAATTCTCTATACTCATAAAATCATACACAAAAATGCACATATGGAGGAATATTTGTGTTCCCAAAGTAGGGTGTATAGAGTGTGGCAAAAGTAGGTTTATAGTTGTTTGTATGGAAAATACAACCACAAATAAATAATAATACAAGTATAAACTCTGTGTTTCATTCTTCACAACTTTTGGCCCACCCTACAGGCTATACTTATTTGATTCCTGTTTTTCTTACTGAACAATATTTAGGTTCCTAATAAAGAAGGAAATTATTTTTAACTAAGAGTGCTATTGTAATTTTCCCTAGTTATAAGCTTAATAAAAATATTTTCTTGGAAGGAGAAATCATGTTATAAATGCAGATATGTAAGATGTATAGTTAGAATTTGAAGTAATAGTTGGAAAAAGTTTCAATGCTGCCAATCATTTTATACTCTCCGCAAGTTTTATATTCTAACATCTTTGATTGGTTGCTTTTACAGTGTGCATTTATATATAAAAATATAATATGTTTAATTAGTTTGTACACAATTCCCATACTATTATGTTCTGATTTTATATTATATTTTATCCTAATATTTCCCTAATGTTTACTTAAATAGTATTTAATACTGATTTAGTGTGCTTTTCATCTTCAAGTCTGTTTATAATTCAATTTTACAACCTACTAGAATGGTTGATATCTTCATTTTCATTTTGTAAATATAAAGTCTGAGACACAGGGAGATTAATTGACTTTTTCCTGGCCATAAACATAACAAGAGTCATAAATTTAAAATCTTTAACTTCCAACTTCATTTTCAATCCATTAGCATTAGATCATTGCCACTTTCTTACAAAATAAACTCCTTTGAAATATTATTTATTCCATAATTAAAACATAACTATTATGTCAATTACCGCCTTTCAGACCTTATTGATTTCTAAAATCTTGATTGGATGAATGTGGTTCCCTTTTTATGGAATCTGTATAATTTGTCCTTAATTGGAAATATTGCAAGTTATCTTCATCTTCAAACATGAAGTAGAAATGACTATAAAATAAGAGTGATTTGCTGGGTATGAAATATAACCTTTATAAAATGTGAAGAAATATTTTCATTCTGAAAGTTCCTTATATGTGTGTGTGCATTGATTTTTAAATAATCACAATTTGTGAATACATGAAGATCTATTGAATTAGATAACAGAATCCTATATAATAAAAGGGTAATATGCAAATTGACTGAACAGTGGAACAACCGGTAGCTATGAAGCACACTGACCACCAGGGTGCAGATGCTCAATGCAGGAGCTGCCCCCTGGCGGTCAGTGCGCTCCCACAGCGGGAGCACCACTGAGCCAGAAGCCAGGCTCATGGCTGGTGAGTGCAGCGTCAGTGGCGGGAGCCTCTCCTGTCTCCGAGGCAGCACTATGGATGTCCGACTGCACTCCCCAGGAGGAGTGGGCCTAAGCCATCAGTTGGACATCCCCGAGGGCTCCCGGACTGTGAGAGGGTGCAGGCTGGGCTGAGGGCCCACCCAAATTCATGAATCTCGTGCACTGGGCCTCTAGTATATGTATATTCTTGTGACAGCATGCTACAGGTTGTAACATTTGAAAGGATAGTCCAACAAGATATCTCAACACATGTTGGCATGGCTAATGTGCAGAATCTATAACCCAATTTAAACTCAGTAAATTTCTTCTTTTTTAGACTATGAATTATCCATGTGAATTCATGATAGTGACAGTTTTCATTGACTGCCTAATGCTGATATTACTAGAGTGTCAAAACAAAGACAGCCATGATACTGAGTTACCTCTCCTTTTCTCAAACTTACATTTGCTCAGAAGCAGTAGAATAGAAAGATATTTTTGTTTCTCTGCTTGCCTCATATTTCTTCAGAGGAGACCTAAATTTGTTAATGTTGTTTCTTTGCTTCTAGTAAGTTAGAGAAATGTGACAAGTTCATGCTTATTGTAGTATACCATTGAATATGATATACATTTAGTACATTTAATTTTTAAATTTAATGTTCCCTGTATCAATATTCCCTGTATCAATGCTCTCTGTGTCAATATTCCATAGTAGCACAATGAGTCTATCAAAGTTCACCATGTGGTCTGCTGTAATATTTATAGCAACACTAGCATAATGGTGAGGAATTGGGGAGGGGAGCATAAAGAGTGTGAAAACAATAAAGGTAAGTATATAATTCATGAAAATATAGTAATTTGAACTATTTTAAATGATAATATGAAAATTAAGGTCGCCAGTAGATTTATTAACCAGTTTTATTTTGCTAGATTTTTATATAATAAAACAGCTGACCTGGCAATGTAAAGAAAAAATTTAAAAGTCTGCTATTACCATATATCCCTTAAATAGTCCAATTTCCCAAATTATAGTGTACTGAAACTTTTTTTTTTGGACCTCACTTGAGGATATTTTCTCATTGATTTTTTTTTTTTTTTTTTTTTTTTTTTTTTTTTTTTTTTATTTATTTTTAGAGAGAGTGAAAGAGAGAAGGAAAGACAGGGAAATATCGATGTGAGAGAAACACATCGATTGGTTGCCTCCTGCACACACCCTGACCAGGCCCAGGCAAAGGGGGAGCCTGCAACCCAGGTATGTGCCCTTGAACGGAATCAAACCCGGAACCCTTCAGTCTGCAGGCCAACGCTCTATCCACTGTGCCAAACGAGCTAAGGCTGTGACTTTAAATTCATTGGCAAGTAATATGACCTATACAAACTCTTTGTAGGTTATAATAATTTCATTTTACTATTTCTTCCCAAGTGAATTTAGAAACAATGTTATGTCAACAGAACTGTTAAGTTGCAGGAATTACTACTTCTTACTATATGTTAAAACTCCCTAGGATAAGATAAAGACCTTGTTATCTTCTACTTTAATCTAACATAAAACAAGATAAGTTAATTAAGAAATTATATCACAATAGTAAATTAGAGAGTATTCAAAAACATAGAGGTATGTGGTTAGGCCAAAGAAGAACAGTTTTTTAAAGTGAGATAATATAGTATAATAACATGCTCAGTATATACATATATGCACATATATGTATATGTAACTTTTTAGGAAGCTCCAAATAAGACCTACTTTCTCATAGTACTTGATCTCGTAGTCCAGTATGGCTCCATTGGGAAAAGCAGGTGCTTGCCATGATAGGGCAATGCTATTTTGGGATGCCCAGTCCTTCCTTACCATACCTATCAGGGAAGGCGCTGAAATGAAAGAAAATAACTAAGAATTAATTGACAGGAATCATATTCCATAATTCTTTCTGTAATATTTTTCTTCCCAAAATACATAATTCTTGATGAGCAGGACATCAAGTATAGGTGTCAGATTAACAAAGTAGCCTTACGATCTTCTCTATTCAATCTAAATAAAGTATCTATAATAATAAAAGCGTAATATGCTAATGAGACTGGATGACCTTTTGGACGAAGCTGGGGCTGCAAGGGAAGCCCGGGTCCCGGGTGCCAGAAGGAAGCCGGTGCTGGCAGCCAGGGGAAGGAAGGCCTACTCTTGCATGAATTTTGTGCATCAGGCCTCTAGTTAAAATGTATTTAGAAATACTATCAGGGAACAAAGGAAAATTTCAAGTAGTCCAAGAATAAGGACCAGAACTCATCGTCTTTGGTTTTGTTAGAGGAGGACATTTTTCTTTAAACTGATTTTGTCTCTACATGAAGTGTGATACACTTGGCTCCTATGTTTAATTAAATCTAAATCTTCTATAGAAAAATCCTCTGCAATGACAAGATCATTCATATGCTTTTCTTTCAAGACTTAGGACTTATAAAGCCTTAGTATTTTATAAATGTTTACATCACAAACTTCTTAGACCCTGGCCAGATAGCTCAGTTGGCTAGGCAGTGGTCGGCAAACTGCAGCTGGCGAGTCACATGCGGCTCTTTGGTCCCTTGAGTGTGGCTCTTCCACAAAATACTACGTGCGGGTGCGCACGTACAGTGCGATTGAAACTTCGTGGCCCATGCGCAGAAGTCGGTATTTTGTGGAAGAGTCACACTCAAGGGGCCAAAGAGCCACATGTGGCTCACGAGCCGCAGTTTGCCGACCACTGGGCTAGAGCATCATCTTGCTAAGCCAAGGTTGCAGATTCCATCCCTGGTCAGGGCAAATACAAGAATCACCCAATGAATGCATAAATAAATAGAACAACAAATGGATGTTTCTCTCTCTCTTCCTTCCTCTCTATAAAACTATTTAGGACTTTATAAAGTGTTAGTACTTTATAAAAATTTATATCACAAACTTCTTAACTACAGTAAATTATTGCTTATCAATGTAAGAATTATTTGCATGGTTTCTGTTGCATTTGAATAAAATTGAAATCCTTGACTTCTGAAGTTTATTTTCAGAATCATGTCTTTTTCTCTCTATATATCACTGTTTTAACAATCTAACTTTACCCTAAAGTAATCTTGTATTAAACTCCCAAAATTTACCTAAATTATATATATTTTAAAATTTTTTATAACAAAATATTTTTCATTTTAAGTTTTCTACATTTTAAAAGTTTCTTACATAGATGTTAAAACTCATTCATAAAAAGAATAATATGAATTAAATATACTGAGATACTATTCCTTATCTACCAAGTTGGCAAAAAAATCCAAAAATCTGATACCAGGTTCTCCGTTGAAAAGGCTGTGGTGGAAACGGACTTTAATGCATAGTTGGGAAAAATGCAAAATGGTACAACTCTTATAAAGGGAAATTCAACAATTTGAAGACAATTCTATGTTCATTTATACTTTGGCTTTTTGGAATCATCTTAAAGATACATTGCACAAAAACAAAGTGATATATTTATAAGCCTACTCACTGACAATTGTTTGTAATGATTAGAAACAATTTAAATATCCATCAATAACAGACTATTTGAAAAACCATGCTACATCAGAGAGTTATGATGTTGTAAAAAGGAATTGTGACTATCTATAAATACTACAATGGCATTATTTCAGGATATATTTTTAAATGATAAAACTTAAGTGGAGAAAAATACATAAAATACAATATAAGGAGAAATCTAGGAATAGAAAACAATAACAACGGTTACCCCTATAGGATGAGAAGAAAATAGGATGGACGCTACAGGGTTAAAAGCGAAATGTCTCTGACTACAGCTTCCCTTTAAAGATTTATTTTGGAATCCTGTAAATATTTTTAAGTGTTAGAAAACAAATTAACATTTTAAAAAGGGAACCCTAGTATACTGTTAGTGGGAATACAGAATGGTACAGCAACTGTGGAAAACAGTAAAAGTTTAAAATGGAAGTGTCATTTGACCCAGTGATCCCACTTCTGGGAATATATCCTAAGAATCCTGAAACACCGACCAGAAAGAATGTATGCACCCCTATGTTCATAGCAGCGCAATTTACAGTAGCTAAAATCTGGAAACAGCCCAAGCACCCATCAGTTGATGAGTGGATAAAAATGCTGTGGTACATTTACACAATGGAATACTATGTGGCTGTATAAAAGAAGGAACTCTTACCATTTGTGACAATATTGATGGACTTGGAAAATATTATGCTAAGCGAAATAAGCCAGAGAAAGACAGGTATCACATGATCTCACTTATATGTGGAATCTAATGAATAAAATAAACTGATGAACAAAATAGGTCCAGAGGCATGAATGCATGAAATGGACTGACAAATGGCAGAGGGGAGTGTGGTTCGGGGGGACAGGAAAGATTATCCTAGAACATATATGCATATATACATAGCCCATGGACACAGACAATAATGTGGTGCAGGCTTGGGGCTGAGACAGGTTGCAGGGGGGGGGGCAAAGGCAGGAAAATGGGGAGATGTCTGCAATACTGTCAACAATAAAAAAGCAATTTTGAAAAATTAGAAGAAAAATAAAAGAAAGAAAGCTATGTATTGAATTGGATGCATAGACTCCAAGAGGAACTACTTAAAGTAACTTTAAAACACAGTAACTTAACATACATCTCAAAGGGATATGTTTTATAGATTTAAAAAACTGCAAAAATTATTAAATTGTTTTAATAAGGATATTATTGATGGTGGTATTGAAGTTGTAATTCAGAACCTGTGTCTATATATTAAGGGATAAAGCAAATGAATAATTATGTTGGTGTCATTGATAACTAGGGTTTTTCTTTTCTCCTAGCGAGAAAGGAAATACAGATGTCAGTTCAATAAAGTATGTAAAAACTCTACAGTAGTAAACTCAAATTAGAAATATATTCATGAACTCATGATATCTTTCTAATTCATTTTCAGAAATCCATTCAAATATACCAGTCACTGGTGAGAATAGGATTTGAAAAAAAATTGATTCTCTGTTTCATGGTGAATATACTTTAAATTTCTAAGAAAAACTCAAGTATTAAGTTTGGTGTTTCATGTCTGAATGTTGCTTTTCTATCTTAAGGATAAAATATTTTTTTTAAACTTGTGAGAATGACAAGTTTGGTTCTTCTAAGGAAATAAGTACTTTAGAAACTACATTTAAAACCCTTTCCAGATGTTGAATGAAAGCATCATTATTGGACTAAAACATATTCTTAAACATGAATAATAATTATAGAAATTGCTAAGAAACAGAAAAGTTTGTGATAGAAGCTAAAACAGATATGGATAATGGAAATAAGGAAAAGTGCTCAGATAATTCACTCTTTAATCGAATCATATTCACTACAAATAAGCTACCATTAATAAATTTATCCATGTTGGAAACTACACTAATGTTCTTTGAATTATAGTGTAATACTGTATTAAATAGCACTTTATGGAAAAATTAAAACTCTCAAGTGAATTATACAAATTATAAATTTATTTAAGTATGTCAATTTATTGCAATTTTTGAAAATGTCTTTTCCATATGTATACATCTTATAGTTAATTTTCAGTTTAATGTATAATGCCATAAAGCCACATTACCGGTGTATCACACTTTGCTTCATAATTATTTAGCATTCAAGATCAAATAATATAATTTTTTCAAAACATATAAGAAATTCAATTATAGCAGCAGTATATTAGAATAACTTTTAAATCAAATATAGGTACTATCTTTTCTATTTAAAATCCTTCAATGGTCAATTAATTTTATAGGTATAGCACCTAAATTTTATGAGTCCTCTCCTATATGTCTATAAAATAGAAATAAAGAGAATCTAGTCCCTAGCTATGTAAATTATACATGGACTGTAGGGTCCAAGAACCACATAAAGCCTAAAAAATATCTTCACGTTTGCACATTTATTTCATAGGTAAATTTCCATATTTTACATATCTTTAAAATATATATCATTTATATAATTCTATTTTTTAAAAATATATCTTTATTAATTTCAGAAGTAAGCGAGAGTGAAAGAGAGATAGAAACATCAATGATGAGAGAGAATCATTGATTGGCTGCCTCCTGCACGTCCCCTAATGGGGATCAAGCCCGCAGCCCAGGCATGTGCCCTTGACTGGAATCGAACCTGGGACCCTTCAGTCTACAGGCCAACGCTCTATCCACTGAGCCAAACCAGCTAGGGCTATAATTCTATTTTTAACCATATTGTAAACCTCAGTCCACATTTTGATATGGACTCCATAGTTATTACTTTAATAGTTAAATTATTAAATTATGTGGATACTTTATTAAGTTTTTCCTTTAATATTGGATGTTGAAATTCCAATATTGTCCTGTTAGTGTTCTCAGATTTTATGGACACATTTTAGATTTTCTTAAATATTTTATAGAGAAAATTGCTTCAATTAATTTGGATTTTCTGCGCCATACTATGTAATAACGTATTGCTTTTGAAAAGAGCTATATCAATACACACTAGGCACACATTTTAAATAGTTATTGAGTTAAAGCAGAGGCTGTTGGAAACAATTTATAAGTCGATATATACCCCAAAGGCTCCCTTTTCTATTTGCAAAGAAATCCAACACTATACAGAATTTCATTTTAAAACAAAGCTTCAATATAGAAAACCTCAAGTGTTTGTTTTGATTATATTTAACAAATTTGTTTTCTGCATAACCCAAGTTTATGGAGCATCCGAATTTGGCATTTTGGGACAACACTGTAGTTCCAATGAATATAAAGCAGAAAATACATAATTCCTCAACATAAGAAAAAACTAATTTTAGAGCACAGAAGGACAACTATTGATTTTTACTTATGATTCTAAAAAGTCAGTGAAGGAAAG